AAGAATTTGTACGGGACATGCTGAGAGACTCAGTGATGGACCGAACTCTCCATGGAAATGCCATACAGCGGCAGGATATCGGCAAAAGATGTGTCCGGGCAGTGAAATAGTACCTGTGCTATAAAAAATGATGTATTGTACAGCCACAATGCAAAATAGGTTGAGGTTTAATTAGGTTCCAATATTTTTTATATAAAAATCTGGTATTTAGCAACAAGAAAGACGTGCCATAAATAGTTTACTTGTGGTCTATAATTAATTTACAGTTATATTTGATTTGATTTTTCTGTTTATTTTTAGTTTTGTTTCTAGTTTTTTATTAAAGTTTTTGGTTTTGTTTTATTTTTAGGTTTCCTCTTAGTTTAGTTTATTTTTAAGTTTACGTTTGTTTAGTTAGTTTGGTTAGGTTTTATTTTATTTTTAGATTTATTAGCCGCACGCGGTTGCTTCTAGGATTAGTCCTTAGTAGCTTACTATACCTTATTTTAGTAACTTTGGTTTCTTCAACTTATTTATATTTTTGTTAAGATTTTAGTTTAGTTTTAGTTCATCATTAGGTTCCATTATTTTTATTTTAATTTAGATTGGCTTTTATTTAAGTTAGTTTAGCCTATGCTAGCTTATGCTAGTTTAGCTTTCTTTACTTATTTTACTTTATTTTAAGTTTAGTACGTAGTTTAGTTTCCAATTTGTTAGTAAGATACAGTTTTCATTTTATTTTTTAATTCATTATACTTTAAACTCTAAAATTTTAAGTTCTTTGCGTTCTTCCGAAAATTTGAGCAGTTCCGATATTTGCGTATTTACACATTTTATTTATGGCGGGCTTTTTTGTTGGCAAACGTTCGATTATTTAAATGATTATTTCAATTCCTTACACTTTCATACGTTTAAATTTGTTATAATTCCTTCTTTCCCCTTAGCCTCACCTAACTTTAACCTAAAGCTAACCTTAATTTAAGTCCTTCGAAATTTGGTTCAAAGCCACACGTATTGCGAGAGTTTCTTGTTTCTGTGTCCTGGCTAGACGGCCATAACAGACGAATTTATGCAGCTGGATGTAAATACATTTTTTAAATTTTTAGCACAGTGTTTGTCCTGTTCAAACAACAATACTAGCCTCTTATGCACCAACAAAGCTCCGTTAACCGCCCCAATTCCACCACCACCACCACCATCACCACCACCACCACCATCACCACCACCACCACCACCACCACCACCACCACC